AGTTTGAATCAAGTATTTTTTGTTGGTCAACAATTAATAAAAACTTCGATTTGATAAATTATATTTACTATAACCAGCAAAGATGTATAAACCACACTTGTGATGCAATAAAGGGATTAGATGAGCAGAAAGCGGCAACTATCTTAATGACAAAGCAGAATAGAATAGCGTTAGATAGGCTTTTGGCTGAGAGGGGCGGAGTTTGTGTTCTGTTTGGATCTATGTGCTGTATTTTCATCCTCAAACAATATAGCACCGGACGGGTCAGTGACAAAAGAGCTTCATGGGAGTAACTACACTGACAAACAAACTGGCTGAGAGATCTGATATTGATAGCTCCATAAACGGTTGGTTTGATAACATATTTGATAAATGGAAAACTATTGTTGTAACTATTCTGGGTGAAATTATAGCTTCTATGGGTATACTTGTTCTTTGTGGATGTTGTCTTATTTCCTGTGTCTGAGGTTTGGTGAGAAAGGAGATGGAAAAGGTGATTTCCCACTGATGGTGAGATAAGGCCCAATCCTGGACTCCAACCTAGGAATGGAGGATATGACCTACCAGGCTTGGTGTAGTGACACTAGAGGGTGTCTAAAGGGGGCCAAAATATACTTCTCTGTTTATGTTTTATGTTTTAATAGTCTTATGTTTTGTGTCCTATTAATCCTGTGTTTTATGCTTTATTAATCAAGTTAACCATGTGAATGTTTGTCTTTTCTTATGTGATGGTTTGAAGTTCTTTGATGACTGGTAACAATTTGCAAGTGGGGTGTAGATGGACTGAGCGTTTGCATTTTTTAGTATCATAATGGCCTATTAATAAAAGTGTGATTTTTTGTTTGTTTTGTATTATAATGAATGAAGATCTGTGTTTTCTTATTTTTGAATCACACCTTATGTGGTGTGAAAAGGGGGATTATTAGGGATTTATTATTCTTCTAAACTGATAGGATGACTAACTTAGAAAGAATGCATTCTTGACTGGGCTAATGTAGGCTGTGACACCTGGCAAGGCTGTGATTGATGTGAAGAGAAGATAAGGATTGTGTCTTCAAATACAAGACTATAATGGTTCATTGTGATCTATGAGTCTTCCTTTGACATGGGAATGATGTCTAAGGGAGCTGGCTCTTCTCACTATGACAGGTTGTTATGATAATCTTGTGTCTGGCTGGAGTGTGTAACAAAGGGCGCCAAAGAGATGAGACCAACCCCCTGCATCAACGGATTGGCTGAGATAGTTTAAACTGCTCAAGTCTTTACTCTAATTGGCCAGCAGAGAAGTGGGAAACTTTCTCTGTCAGTGTATTTGGGTATTGTTTTCTGGAACAAGGAGTTAGTTGTCTGTAATGTCCTGCGAGGCATATCAGAGAACCCGTATATACGAAACATCATATTTACCATTGAAGGTTTTTGCATTAATTAAAATAATTAGTATACCTTAGAAGTCGTGTTGACCTCTTTTGTTCCTAATGCCAGATTTGAATTGACGCGACATTGACACTAGGCAAGGTGGAATCTTTTTGTGTCTTTAAAATTAATAATGCGAGAAATGGACGAGGAAACGCTTTTATGCGCCAATATTGACATAATAACCATCATATCGAAGTAAACTTGGAGTCACAGGATGACATATTGTGTGGTCCTCCCACTATGACTTGTCGGGAAAGCATGCAGTTTATTAGGCTACGGATGAAATAAGTTATGATGAACTTCACAGGGTGGTGAAAGTGCAAGGTGATGAGCTTGATGCTGCCAATAAATATTGAGGGTCTAATTCTGGTGACATGATGATCGATGCTTAGCTGACGTTTGAGAAAAAATAATAATATAGCTCTTTTGTCCATAATAATCTCATCATGTGGGCTATATAATACACTGTATATGCAAGCTGTTGGCTAGAGCGCATGTGCCAATACCGGAGTGGGCACATTCGCTATACAACACATTTTTGGTGACAAAACCATCCGTAAAATGGATTTCTTACTGCAGCCAAGAGTCGCGCGCATCTGTGCGTTACGTCAGTGTGTCGTGTACTGGAAAAGTGATTCCTGCTTATATTCTTTATGGTGCAACAAACTAACATACAACAAAAAAATAACATAACTAACGGCCTAATTTGCATTCTTTTGACTGACAGCTTACTAACAGCAACAACATGTCTGCTAGCTCAGTTAGCCGCTAGCGAACGTTACTCACCGAACTCGGGGTCATTTTCCCGTGTTTCTTCCTCAATCGCCCTTGGTTTAATCGCACAATTGACCCAACAAGGAGCCCAAAAGGCTACAAGCACCAAATACTTCATCGTGACGTTAAAATAGCTTACACTTGTGTCATTATCGCAAGTTGTTGATGAATAATGTCAACACCGGACAGGTTGACCAAGCTAGGCTAAATAGTTAGCTATCTTGCTCGCTCTCGACTTCACAATCAAAATTATTCCCTGACGGCGACTTTATTCGCAAGCCTTATAGCGCAAAGGTTAAAATGTCTAATAATGCATTGTAGATTTGACTGAATTTGAATTTCAGTTAGCTACGGCAGTCGTTTTGAGTTCCAAATGCTACTTCCGATACCCGGAAGTTCATTGTTTTGAAAAAGGGAAAAAGGGAACATCCGCTCAATGACTGTATCCAGAGATACTTTTGAGGAGATGTAAAACTCCATTGGAATCATATTAACGGCCACTGTGTAACTTGCCCGTACGTTGTCAATGGGCCGCGTGGTGCATTCTGGGTACACTCCGACAAGGAGATCTCTCCTTCAAGGAGTCAATTGGGCGCTAGCACAAAACCCCAACATTAACACGAATTACGTGAACAAGAAGCTCAACATTACAAATATTTTCCTGGATTTCAGATAATTAACTTGTCCTATGTAATATCGTATAGCTTTGAAATAGTGACATTACGTTCTTTCGAGGAAAATAGGCAGGTTTCTCGACTCATAGTCATACCCTGACTCAGTGGAGGCGACTGGTCGACATTCTGCTGGGTGGAGCATTATACGTTTCACCATTAATTCTTATGACGTTTTCAAGACAACTGGGAACTCAGAAAAAAAAACTAGGTCAAATCATGACGTCAGTGAACTTCAGGTCGGAAAGTCGGAGCTCTAGAAAGATGCCCGAGTTTCCGACTTGGTATTCCGAGTTGGATTGCTATTCAAAACAATTTTTTGTAGGATGACGTTTTTACGAGTTCCCAGTTGTCTTGAATGCACTGAAGTCGAAGATTTCCGATTTGTTTTGAACACGGCATTATCTCCTCATTTTCTAATATATCTGCTGTATCCGTTGCAGCTACGTCAGATAAAAGGGCGGATAAAATATCCTCTTGACAAATAAAAATGTGCCATGTCTTTACAAAATGATGCTGAGGGAACATTTAGGACAGGGAACGTATATCATACTCATGATGTACCTGCAGCAGGTCTATGGTCTGCACTAGTTATTTTTTTATTTCCATCAAAAGGTGGGGGCACATTGACCTAGTGGATGAGGGCTCCAATCTTCACTCTTCTCAAAATTAATCTATCATGTATTTTTTGGTATTTTATTAGGATCCCCATTAGCTGTTGCAAAAGCAGCAGCTACTCTTCCTGGGGTCCACACAAAACATGACATAATACAGAACATTAATAGACAAGAACAGCTCAAGGACAGAACTACATACATTTTAAAACGGCACACAGCCTACATATCAATACATACACACTATCTAGGTAGGTCAAATAGCGGAGAGGTGTTGTGTTATGTTTTTTTAAACCAGGTTTGCTGTTCATTTTACCAATATGAGATAGGAGTTCCATGCAATAATGGCTCTATATAATACTGTATGCTTTCTTGAATTTGTTTTGGGGACTGTGAAAAGACCCCTGGTGGCATGTCTGGTGGGGTAAGTGTGTGTGTGTGTCAGAGCTGTGTGTAAGTTGACTATGCAAACGATTTTGAATTTTCAACACATTGTTTCTTTAAAAAATAAGTGATGTAGTCAGTCTCTCCTCAACTCTTAGCCAAGAGAGACTGGCATGCATAGTATTTATATTAGCCCTCTGATTACAATGAAGAGCAAGAACTGCCGCTCTGTTCTGGGCCAGCTGCAGCTTAACTAGGTATTTCTTTGCAGCAAGATAAGACAACTAGAGCCCGCAGGACTCGCTTTTTGGAGTGTGGTGTCAAAAAAAAGCAGAGCATCTCATGTGACATTTGCCCCACACAATATCAGCTGTTGCTGACATGAACGCTGGTCCAAAATTATGTTAGATGACCTTTTCAATTACAATGTCAGCTGATTTTCTATAAAATGTGTGAAATCAGGTTCAAAACAGCACACAGATTAACAAAAGGCAGTTAAAAAGGCACACCATACACGCCAACATTTTTTACTAGAAAGACCCCAGCTCAAGATTGGTTTATAAAATGTCATTTTTTTTATTCATGTTACATAGCTGATACATAGGGCATTAAACATTTCCACGAGGCTTTTGGGGACTACAATCGATGATTAGCAAAAACACAATAGTGGTCCAAATCGCTAATGACAATCTCTGGACTAACCAAACACCCTCTTTAACATGTGCACAAACCTGCATTGAAAAGTACTAAATTGGACACTTGGGACATGGTGTGTATACAGCATCAGTTCCCGTTCCAGTGTCCTATTAAATTACATGCATGTAGGAGTATTTTTTTCTTCCCATTATCAGATTGGTTTTATTTTTGGTTTTTAGAATGCCCCACCTCTGTATTCTCTTCAACCAGACATGCTTTATAGTGAATACCATAACCAGGGGGAGTGAGGAAAGACCTTGTCAGAACCAATGGAAATCACCTGGCTGCGAAAGACTGGGTGCCAGCTCATAGACTGGCTGTCCCTGCAGTATGGAACAATTGGACTTGTTAATGTTGGACGTCAGCAGCTGTAACCGTACCAGATAACCGGGTGGAGAAAGAGACTATGGAGGACGACAGTACTATTCATCCAGTCATCCTATTCTGCTTAGCAAACACCCCTGTTCTAAGAATACTTAACTGCCCTGGTATTTGATGGGACTAACATTTTCTGTAGCTCAGCAAAAACCCTAGAATTTCTTATTTTTTCCTCTAATTTGGACTAAAACGTTGATATAAAGAGGTGAAGCTATTCATACTTTTCTAACAGCAGAAACTGCACATATGGAAGGCCAGGATGAACACAAACCAAGGAATGGAGGGTCTTTTTTTCTCTCCAATCAATATTTTTCTTGTCCAAAAACTACAGTATGAAAATACTAAAATGATTTTGGAATTTCCATACGCAGTTTTGACAGTAATGGTTTAATTGCTAGAATCATCTAGAAGTGGAGCGATAAAGGAATGGAAACGTGTAAAAAGGTCATTTTTCTTTTTTTGGAGAGATGACCCCGTTTGAGTTTTAGTTCTCGTTCTCTCCGGCCTCGCCGGCCTCTCCACCTTCCCCTTCCCCTTCCTCGGGCGCGTTGTTGGATGTCCATAACTGGAGAGAGAAAGACACATTGACGTTAAAAACACATGGGGTTGCAAAAAAATAAATAAAAAATAAATTAAGTCTACAAATCTTTAAAAGTCAAAAACTTGTCTACTAAAACCTCGTTACCCATGCAGTCTTCCAACTTAACTCTTATAAGTGAACATGATCATTATTGTACAGTCTCTAAACAGCATCCAAGTTTCATTTTTAACAGACCGTAAATATTGATTGCCTAGAATAAGGAACATGGCAGAGCAGATAGGGAAGGGAACTCACTGTCAGGTTGTCTCTGAGCAGCTGCATGATGAGAGTGCTGTCTTTGTATGACTCCTCGTTCAGTTTGTCCAGCTCTGCAATGGCATCGTCAAATGCCTGGAGACACAAAAAGCACATTTATTACACGGCAAGCTTGGAAAATAGAATCACTGTGCAAAATCCAAGCTACCATAGATCGAGTAAACCCCCTGCATGTCCAGCACAGATATCAAGCTATGTACTTGGTATCTCCCACTGAAATAACTTTTCCCAGAAGAGACATATCATTACAAATCAACCCATTCACACACTTATCTACTTGTTAGCAATTCAATCAAACACACCACTTATCTTTCTTTCATTCTGATATAGAACAAGCAGATAACACAGGAACTTCTCCACATTTCAAACAAAGTCCCCATATCTAAAGAAAACAGCGGACAGGACAGAGGAGAGGGGCTGGACTAACCTGTTTGGCCAGTGAGCAGGCCTTCTCTGGGGAGTTGAGGATCTCGTAGAAGAAGACTGAGAAGTTGAGGGCCAGGCCCAGGCGGATGGGATGCGTGGGATCCATCTCCTTCTTGCTGATGTCAAACGCCTGCTGGTACGCCTCCTGAGAGTTCTCTATGGTCGCTGGGGAGCACAGAGATCAGAGTGGACGTTGTTGGAAGTCATTGGAGGCAATGGTACAGTGTGACACCCCACCAGACTTATTTTGACTAACACCAAGTGTGAGACTTGTTAGCCAAATTCACTCTGTAGCGATTATGATATAGGCTAGTGGACATTGACAGCTAGTGGATGCTAGGTTAAAGACTACAGGTGTAGTATTGGACGATTCTGTGTGGCATGTTCTCTGCAATAAGCAACTGAACATCGCAGTCAAGCGGCACATTGATTTCCTTTTGTCCAAGCCCCATTTGAAATGCACATGCTTATAACTGGGCATAGAGCCCTCTTTAGTGTGCGTCACACAATGGGTGCCAGTGGGAGTCTCATAGAGGTCCATACAGTAGGATAGGATCCTCCCCTCTTCCTCAGGAGACGGTTCCCTGCGGTGGCGCGAGTGTGTGTGACGCCTCACTTGACACCATTTCCCGCTCTGTGACAAAATGTGCCGTTCTATTTCGGCTGCTGCACGAAGGGCTCAGAGTTTAAAGTGGAGGGGCCTCATTTTAACCTCCTCGCAGACTGTAGAACAAAGTCCTAAAGAATATCTTGTAATAGTGGCCATCAAAGGCTTCTTTATTAGGATGTGACTCGGAGGGGAGATTCATATTGGGGCTGTTACGCCATCAGAGGGAGGCGAAATCTATTGGGCTGCGAGGACCAACGTATATACTCCACAGAACATTTACTTTATGCCCCACACAGTCTTTCAAGCCTGTTTAGATGTCATTCTGGGATTAAATAAAAAAAGTTGATGTATTTTACATATCTGGCTCGAGTAGCACTTGGGCTAGGGAGATTATTACATTTGACATTTTATTCATTTAGCAGACACTCTTATCCAGAGCGACTTACAGGAGTAATTAGGGTTAAGTGCCTTGCTCAAGGGCACCGACAGATTTTTCACCTAGTCGGCTCAGGGATTCAAATCAGCAACCTTTCGGTTACTGGCCCAACACTCTTAACACTAGGCTACCTGCCGTAATTCACACACCTAAAATGTAGGCTTATTTCTTGCAAATACCAACATGGCAAAAACCTCATGCAGTATTCAGTTCAAGGGGCCATTTCAATCTCACCTGTCTTGTCATCCCCGGAGGCGACTTCGGCAAGGTATCTATAGTAGTCGCCCTTCATCTTAAGATAGAAGACTTTGCTTTCGGCATTTGTGGAGTTCTCAATTAAATATTTATTCAGCAGTTCCTGTTGAAAGGAAACAGGGATTAATCATTTGTTCACACACTGCATAAACTTCCATCCATTTAACAGTCAATGTTTCCTTATTATTGAAATCCTGTTAACCTACTCTGACTGGCTAAAGAAAGAAGGTTGATTCTGATTGGCTGAGACAACATACACCCAAACATGACCATGTGAGTTGAGTTCCCATCTTATCCAGAGTTCCCAACCAAACCCTCCCACACCAGTGGTGGGCAGATTAACCTAAATCTTTCCGTTACAACTGTAATGTATCCAACAAAAACTGGGTTAGCAGCATTAGTGACTGTACTGGACCAAGGAGGTGTATCAACGATGACGAACACACGTTTCAAAATTCATATCTTGATTATTTGAACATTTTGATTGAGCCTGTGACCAAATTTGATTAACCAGTTCAGTGGCCTCACGTGATGACATCATGCGAGTGATGTCCTTGCTGGATGTGCCCACACGAGGGAGGCATACACTCGTAGGGCTGCGACAGTCATGGAATGTTGGATGACGGTAATTGGCCAGCCAATTTTGCACTGCGTCAAGTCATTCCAACTTGTCCATAATGAGGCCAGGCCTCCTGCGGGTTCCTGGCCATCTTTTGCCCCAGATTCTTCCGGGCTCCTTTCGTTCCAACGTTCTTCAGTGCTCTGTCTTAGTAGCACAGACACCGCCATCGAATCAACGTGTCTCAGAAGCAAACCCAGCGGCTGAATGCACTGACTGCACTGGGAAAATAGCAGCACTGCTTGTACGCTACATATTAGATAGCACTCCCAGGCCCCCCACAGCATATGCATCTATATTTAAACCCTGCAGCAGCAGAAACTCCAGCATCACTGCAGACCAGTTCCTCTGCAACACACTAAATATACTGAAGAGGGTACAGGAAATACAGTAGGCGCTATAGCCTGCATGACCATACATTTCATGTGGGGTTCAATCCAAGGCAAGTTTCATTCTGTAAGGGAAATGTATCAGCTCCTGACACTGCGGTGTGGAATGCTCAATCGCCAGTTAGTTAGCGTGAAGGAGCCTAACCAGGCAGGGCCAACTCATCAGGATCAGTCTCCAAAAGGGCCTGACTGCTGCCTGATTACAGATTACTGCGAATCTGTGTCAGTGAGACCAAGGGTTTAAGGTCACATTACCTTGTTTTAAATACCAGATTAAACAAGTTCACCGCAGATGAGGCTGACAGACCTAATGGCAACTACTGACACTGACAGACAGTGAGTCGAAGTAGGCGTGTCTCAGGGCTCATCCGGCCCTGCCCCCGCTCTTACCCAAGCCACTCCCACCCAGTCTACTTACAGACGAGATTAGTCTAGATGATAAACAGCACGCTCAAATGTCTAAAGTTCCCAGCATTCCTTCCCATACGTCGCCCTGCCTGCAGACGAGTGGAGGGAGAGTGGCCTGGTTGTTCACAATGTGTTCAGTTCACACAGCGCTCTAGTTTCACTCAGACCAAGGCAGTCTTTATTAGGCACCAAATGGAAGGAAACAGGGAGGAATTACATGAACCTGTCCAAAAGGAAATGCTGGTTTTAATTTTGGGGTTGCAAAACATTTAGCTACGGTTTGCCCTAATAAATGACCCAGGCAATAGCACTGTGCTCGATAAAACCAGCTCCTATATATCATCTGTGGCCATGATATAGTCCTAACAAGAGCTGGTGAAATTCTCCAGGGTTCGACTAGATTGCAGTATAGTGGCTGTGCTCGTCTATTGGAGATGAGCATATCGTGAACATCCGGATGCTATTCCATCAAGACTACTGTGCGAATCTGGCCGGGTTTTCAATGATCAAGAAAATGTGGGCCATCGCCATTACAACCTCGAAGGTTTGACTTTGAAAAAATGTGTCTTGCCAAGGTTATATTCACAGGTGAAGAAGAGACAAGCCTGGATTGTTGTGTAGTGGGCCACGTTCTGTTCGGTCTTACCTATACCTGAAAGTGGAGCACTGAAAACAGCCTGCACCACCCTCAGCAGGACTCCAATTTCCCGGCGGCGTCGATGGCCACGGCCTAACCAACAATAAGTGAACCGATTCTGAACAATCACCTGTAGTTGCATACAAACTACAGCTGCCAACAGATTGAGAGGTGGTTACTGAGGGTAACTATCCAGCTTCCATGATCCATTCACAGTGCAGACAGGCAGGGTGGGTAAGGGTACAGTGTCTGCCTGGCTGTGGGCAGCAGAGCAGAGGGGTTTCACCCAGTCCAGTCTGGCATGACATCGCCTCAGTGGAAAGTGAGTGCCATATTATCCAGTCCTGTCTCCACCACCAGGCCTAATTCAGCCCAGTCAAGCCAAGGCCTGTCAGCTGAGAGGAGACAGGTGGTTATGTGCACCAGTAGCCAGCCGCCAAGCAGAAGGGGCGAGTTGGGGCAAGCAGTGTGATACACATTCTCATAGGCTGGCTCCACCACGCCCTCAGTCAACACTGGCAGGCAGCTGAGTCAGAGCCACACACACTAGAAAGTGGCAAGTGCACAGACGTGGGGTAGCTGTAAGGTGTGGTCAGAAGATGTGCCCATCTGTACAGTTTACATAACCATGACTCACTGGCATACAGGAAAGGAGAGAGGGTGGTTAACCAACCTGAGGTACACCTACACCATAGCCTACAGTTAGCTGCTTATCAGTTATGCCTACATACATAGGGTTTGACATTGTTTGCTTGCTCGTATAGAGAACCACTATGCATATATCCCACAAAAAATCTATGTTGGTGACCATTAATATCTATATTGGTCTGAGTAAATAACAGCAACCCAATTAGAACAGCAGTGGCAATGAAATGTGATTAAAAAGTGACATGCTTTGAATATCTCCCTGGCACACTGCCGCCTTCATAAAAATCTGTAGAGATGTGACATGACATTGTCATAACCCTTAATCGTATTCTTATATGTATGGTTCAGTGCTAGATTGGGCTCCAGTGTGCTTACAAACGCTGCCCGCCCCGCCCCTCAACCCAATCCCCTCATCTCAGACCTCCTTGTGTCTAAAGGCCAACAGCACAGTGAAATTCTCTCAACCTCACAGTTAAGCCTCCACGAGATCCTCTCTTAATCCACTATCAAGACCGGATAGGAATAATGGGCAGAGCCATTCACTAGTACAGCCTTGGATTTAAGAAGTGAAAACAATTGCCTCAGATGAAACCAAACAGAAAAAGAGTCCGTAGTGGCAGTCAAGTAATATTAATGGAAGGGAACAAAAAATATATTTTCCTACATGTTTCAGTTTTAAATCAATCAGAGCACCATACCATTTCGGAGCCCCCAAACGGGTAGCAAGCTAGGTTAGTGGGGTTGAGAGACATAGCCTATTGAGCAAACTGGGCTATGATAGTCCTGTTACACAATTGTGAATGAACTCTTTCACTTCGCTAGCTTCATTACAACTCATGTGCCAGATTAAACTATGTGAATGGTCCGTGCTATCCGGGTTCCTTGGGACATCACTACTCCATTGAAGTTTACATTTAAAAAATGATTAAGGTAAAGGTTATGGTTAGGGTAGTGTTTAGGGTAGGGATGTCCCAAGGAACATGGATCCTATGTCAGTATCAAAACAGGAGGAGCCCACGCACTCCCAGTTTCAGGCCTGTAACAGCACAGCTCTTGATCAGCCACCACTGGTGCTCTGCCAGTGTCTACTCCACCCATTCTGACACACCTTGCTGTGCAGACACACTGGATTGTGACCTTTGTCAGTCTGCGCCATCACGTGGTTAAACCCCATTGTTCAGTGAGACATTCCCAACAGGAAGAAACCGGGGAGGGGATGAAAATACAATACTACCTTCTCATCTCGGGGCCGGGGGAAGATCCCCATTTTAGACCGTAGGAACTCATGGAGAATCGTGGGACATGACATTTGATCCACATTGCATTGAAACAATCTAATGTTAGTCTCTGTTTAGAGTAAAATAAAATGGGAGGTGTGATATGCTTAACAGATTTTAAATAAATTCATGGTTGGGTTCAGGGAAACACTCAATGCTGAGAGTGAGACCAAAGGTCAATTCCATTTCAATTCAGGAATTAAACTTAACATAGAAAAAAATATATATGTGCAATTCTACCTGAATTGAGACAGAATTCAACCCAATCCTGGTAGACTGATAAAAACATGGAGATAAATCTGCATAGCTATGCTTTTGTTATGCAAACAATGTATTTCATCGAGCATACTTAAATGTAGTGTTGACTGTTCAGAGAAGGCATTGCTCCTAATTTAAAGAGAGACCCTTTTCTTCAGCACATTTATCCAGACAGCATAGAGATTAGATTCCTGTGGCAGTATGGCTGGGTGAATTACTGATGTCTCGTGCTTGCACTGATGCACTCAAATATGCCTCAGGAGGAGCAGGTAACCAAACACTTCCTAGACCTAGAAAGATAACTAATCAACTATTTAAAATGATATTTTACATCCATAGTCAATATAATGATGCAACACAGTGACTGTCTGACTAGTGACCACACTTTCCCAGCTGCAAGCTGTGAGAGGGTGAGATGAGTGTATTCAGTATCCTAGGCCAGTGGTTCCCAACTTTTTTTGGTTACTGTACCACCAACTGAATTTTGATCTACCCGGAGTACCCCCTCATGCACATTTTACCAGTAGGCCTATGGTCTCATGAGTCTTCTCAAGTACCCCCTGTGGATAGGCCAAGTACCTCCATGGGTCCTAGTACCCCTGGTTGGGAACCACTGTCCTAGGCTAGTACCATACACTTAACACCCACTTTATGTACTAAACATTTCCAGAATAATTAATCTGTATTAGTACTACATACCAGTACGTCGTTGCAGATATCTCTCAGCTCTCCCTCCACCTTCTCCCGGTATTCGTTGACCATTGCGAGCTTCTTGTCGCTTCCCTCGGTCTTCTGTCCGATGCTGGAGATGACTCTCCATGCCGACCGCCGTGCTCCGACCACATTCTTGTATGCGACAGATAGCAGGTTCCTCTCCTCGTTTGACAGCTCGCCCCCCTGCTCCGTTACCTCCTTCATGGAGGCAGCCATGTCATCGTAGCGCTCGGCTTGCTCCGCCAACTTGGCCTTCTGAATAAGCTCCGTTTTATCCATTGTTTTTTATTCTTTTGTGTGTAACCTTAGCTTGACTAGTCAGGGACTGTTTAAAAACAATAGGAGTCCAGGAATGCAACAGGGAATAAATTGAAGAAGGAAGTACAAGATGGAGAGTAGGGGATGCTCCGGAGTATTCCACCAAAAACCTGCAAGTGTAAAACGGGAGGTTTATGTCACTGTTTGTCAATTTATTATGGAAGAGGTTGTGACCCAATGTAGTGAATGCACTTTTGCTAACACCAGCGTATTATAAACTGAAGCCGATAGAAATAACCATTTGAGAGCAATCGGACTTGTACAGGTTACACACGCTAACTACCGTTACATTCGGATGTGTGTGCGCGTGTCTTGCGTGCGTGGACGTGGTGTCTGTCAAATTTGATGGGTCGCTACCGTTTGCTAGCTAGTGAAACAGTACCAGTAGCTACCTGACGTTAGTTAACGCAGAAAGACTCAACGCTAGCTATAAGCTAACCATTTAACGTTAACTAGTTAGCAATCATAACTAGTTAGGCTGGCAGTGCAGTGGTCACAGTTGCTGACTGTGTAACGACGTTAGCTAGCAAGCTAACGTTAGCATTCAGACAGTGCACAGATAGACTACGCTAGAGATAAACAGTTACCTAACTACATCCCTACTACGTTGACATTTATTCAACACAAAAAGGATGCATCTATCTTGCTTCCGCCAGACAAACTAACTAACATAAGCCCGCCAGATGAGCATCTAGCTAACGTTAGCCTACGGTAGTAAAAGCTAACTAGTAACGTTAGCGTTGGGCCACTCCTTTAATTATGAATGGGTTGCAACAACATAATGTTACCATTCTATACACTTGGCTACAAAAGAAACAGACTTTACAAATCGCAAACTAAAAAAGATTGAAATAGAATTTCTGAATTTTCTAACCTCTAAGGTCCCGATTTCTTCCTCCGAATTGATCCGCTTTTGAGATTGGTATGAGGCAGAGCGGAAAAACAGCAGACGTGCAATTCAACCAAACTTGCTAGGGCGGCTCTAGCTGAGAATGATTTTCCAATCAGAAATATACATTTTCACCTGTCAATGATAATTTCTAGAGATACTAGCCAGTAGCTATTTAGCGCGGGGAAAGGGGGCGGGAGTTCAGGGACTTTTAGACTAGCCTGTAGGCTGCGGCTGGGGCCACGGGGTTTCCTCCAATTAGAGCAAGGGAGAAGACGTCACCATTGCCATGGTTATCCTTCGTTCCAGCACACTTTCATACATTGGAGTGTAAGTGAGGCACGAAGGCGGGCGTGGCACTCGAGATATTCCTAATTCTCCCCCTTGATACCTTTTCTCCCTCTGAAATTTAGATTTTGTGGGTGATGTCGGCCATACAACCTTGACCAAATGACTCCATATTAGTTCTCACTAAAGCAATGATGGCTTTAATAACATTTTCACTGCACAGAACACATGATGCTGGTAATAGGGCTCACAGAGCACAGACCAATGTATTTAATTATTTGTGACATAGGCCTGGTTATGTCAAATATCGATTTGCCTTTTCCCTCTATTTCATTTCACCCATGGGGAAATGTCCCCGAATCTTGATGGTGTTATTATGCCTTGGATGATCAACTGGCTGGGTAATCTGCATCCCCTTGTGTTCATGTTGTTTCCCCTATGGCCATGATTTGTAGCCCATAGCTGAAAAGGGGACTTCCGTGTCATAATTTGCTATGATTGTTGTGATTGCCTAATACTGTGTGGCTTGGTTTGTAAAAAAATTAGCATCACAATGGCAGAAGTGGTCTGCCAACAGGCAAGCGGGCTGAGTGCCCTCTCTATCATTTCTGGGGTCACAGACATGGGAGATCCACCTGTCTAATCGAATCCTACGCCTAGATGCATTCTGATCATACCCGATGTCAACAGCTGGATATGCTATTGAGAAAGATTTTATTTGACACCAGCCGAACAAGGTTGTAATCTGGAAAATAATTTTTCTAATTCAGACCTCATTCTGTGAATTATATTGATCATATGTTTTTTCCATGAGGTCAGTGTCCAGCGGCCTTTTTCTTCCCGATCAACTGATATTCTCTCTCTCGAATCCTATCTTCAAAACAAATTCCCCTCCCCCACTCAGAAATATAACCAGCATATGTTTTTCTTATTATTGTTTTTTTTAAAACAGTTTTCCATTGCAACCTCATCATTAGCCACTTTCAGCAGCCATTTTGTTTGTTTCCGTCGAGTCTTTGTCTACCCTGTGGTTTTATTGTCCGATAATTGGCAGCATGCATTATCTGAAATGAAAGGTCTCTCAGAAGGGCCCTGAATGCTCTCACACAGTGTCATGGGAACAATCTACAGTGGAAAACACAGAGCATCAATGCCACGTCCGTTCATCATAAAAACCTGTGATTTTGTTGACTTTGAAGTAGGCTACACTGCTGTGATTTTGGTTGACTGAGACAAGGCTACGCAAATCCCACGGGATGTAATAGGTAGGCCTAGATGATGAACGTGTTTTGTGGGTCAATTATTTCGTCATGCTCAGCTCAGTCCTGACACTTTCGTTGTGATGGATAGTGCAGTCCCTATGATTTCATGGGGTTGGTTTGGGTGTTCTCGATTGTTTGGGGAAAATGGCCTGTAGGCCATTAGGGTGATTTTTTACAGTGGCCTCACATGTGGATAAATTACAGGTCTGGAATGTCCTCTCACAAGCCCTGTAACTCTAGAACCCCATTTGCTATGACTGAACAGACAAGGGAGGCTAGTTATGTTATACCTTACTCTCTTTTGGCCCTGAATCTTTACTCATTTCCCAATAGATTTATCTTTGCTTTCAAGGGGGTATCTGTCTGCTAAATGTAGACTTATTCACAACCTATATGATATTGCAGAGATATGACAGATTTGAAGATGATGTCATAGACAGTGAAATGATTACACTTACATTTGGGCCTTTTGCCTTTCTGGCCCCTTTGGACAAATGGTTATCAAACACCTTTACATTCTGTTTTTGAGGAAGCTACCCACAGGGAATTAAGTGAATGAAGAGGAAGCAGAGAAGAAGCAGCAAGGGTTTCTGAAAACCTGGATTTAAGCTATGCCTATTGCCTCAAGGACAAAACACAGCTTTTTGTGAGGCTCAAGGTGTGCTGAGTGATGGACAATGGCCATCTTCAATTTCCCCCTCTTGCATACATTCCCCGTATCTACCCTCAGCACTAGTGTGACCTCCACCCCGTCTCACCTCCAGTATGAAAAGTAGATTCCACAGGCTGCTCAGTAACTGAACAGGCAGGCGTAGGTTTACGTAAGTCAGAGAAACCCTTGGGTGTTGTTCGTCTCTACTGAAACCTGCCTGCCTGGCAACAGTCCTACTGACTCTCACTCACTACCCTGCCTGCACAGATAGACAGGACAGATATGAGTCCAATAGACGACAAGGCTTGATTTATAGCCGAAAGTGCTGCTGAGTCATAAATGTCCAAGGTAACCTTCCATTATTTAAGCCACCAGCAGCAGTCAGCCTAATTGGGATCTTACTCATGGCAATCAGTCTCCGATGACCTGTCCAAAGTGACAAAGAGAGAGAGATGGAGGGAGGCAGAGAGAGAGAGAGAGAGAGAGAGAGACGAGGCAAGGAATATTAAGAGCATCTTTTCAATCAATCACAATCTTTGCTCCTGTTGGAATTAGCTTTCCTTGAATGCCTTTTCCTTGGTGTTTCAACAACAACAGAAACAAAGGCTGAAAGGTTTGTGAGAATAATTAATAAGGGAAATAATGGAGATGATGTTGCTCTCAGACTGCATCCATCGTGCTTTATTTAGAGTATTTTCCTCTTCACGGTTGACTGCCGCCTAGCACTGCTATTTATTGCTCATAATGACTGGGCAGACTGTCTCACACTGTCTGGAGGCTGGCTGACTGGCTTCTCTCCTCTTGCAACTTGGCTCTGCAAGAAGCCTGATGTCAGTTGGGAGTGTCTGTCAAGTGAAAAGGCAAAGATAAAGATCAAAACAAAGGGGGAAAAACATTAACCCAAACACCTCTATATTGTATTTCTTTCTTTATTTCCCTTGAAAACATTTGTCATTTTTAAGAAACGACTAAACAGGTGATATACTGTAGCATCGTGTGAGATTCGAGGAGAAACCCAGGCCAAAGCAAAGGCTGAGTACTGATTATAGGTTATATTCAGTAGTTGCAGAATGGAATCATGTGTGGGAGTAGGATTACAGAAGTGGCTTTAGTGGTCTGTGAGGCATAACAAGAGATCATGTTTTAATGCTAGGACCATTGTCAAAAGACAGTGACGAGATTTCACGAGAAACGAGGGCAAAGGCGAAGTCCTTTAGGCAGGGTTTCCCAAACTCGGTCCTGGGGCCACCCCTGGGTGCACATTTTGATTTTTGCCCTAGCACTACACAGCTGATTCAAATAACCAACTCATCATCAAGCTTTGATTATTTGAATCAGCTGTGTAGTGCTAGGGCAAAAACCAAAAGGTGCACCCAGGGCGGGCCCCAGGACCGAGTTTGGGTAAAGCTGCTTTAGTGTATAAGCCAAAGTCTCTTGCACTGTTCATGCCCTGAGTTCCAATTAACAACCTGAAAATCCTGGTGGAGATTTACTGAAGATAGATAAGATAAAAACCAGCCCAACCCAATGTACCTACGGTTTTCAGTGTAGTTTTCCAACACTGTGGGTGGGGTTAGGTGTAGGGCAGGCCTACTGTAGTTTAGTTTCAGTGAATGATGACTGATAGAGATAGGCCTATAAAGTAGTGGGAGGCCTCATATCTTGACCCTATCTTGAGTCTGTGGATACTTACGTAATGTTGGCAGTAGGCCCAGTGTGTAAATGGGCTATGTGTGAGCTAGGGTCATTGTAATAAGGGGTGGAATTGGGAGCCATTACATTGAGAAGAACTCAACACTGTCGCAATAAATAAATAAAATATACATGTGAAAATGTTTCCCCTGAGATTTTCATGTTGGGAACTCTGTCCCCATGCATTCCATTCCCAATTCCACCTCAGACTATAATTCAAGAAATCATATTGTAATTTACATAAAATAATATACAAATGTACTGTAATGTTGATGTAGTGTAAACAGAGCATTATTTTGTGGACTGGTGTTTCAAATTCAGTGTAATATTTAACAGGTTTGCAATGCTTAATGTCTGGGTGTTACTCACCTTCAGATTAAATACTGGTTAAAGATGTGGCTATGAGAAAGGGCAATAGGGTTGTTGTAACATGCAAATACAGCAAGTTGAGTAAGCAAGTTGATTCGTGTAGTGATGAATGAGCAGAAACCAGCCAGATAATGCATGGGATGGTGTAGGAAAGAGGCTTGTGGCCTTACTCTTGAAAGGTATTGGCAACAAGGAGGTGTTAGTGGAGTGGAAGGAGGAAGTCGTGCCACCAGGAATACAAGTTTAGGGTTATTTTCTTGTAGGCCTCAAAGAGCAAAAGGCCAAAATCTTGCAGGAACTTTGTACGGAAAGATTAAAAAATGATGCATCAAAAAGCAAAACTTAAGTTGACTGCTGCTTTAAATCCTGATGACAAATAACCCTTCAAATCCCTGCAGTACAAAAAGCCCAGAAAGGTTACCTCACCTGAGCTTTAAACTGGCCTGTAGGCGAGCCGCCGCCAATACTGCCCTAATCTAATTCTGAACCTGAGTCTCCATAAGGCTGCAAGATAGCTGCTTATATAGCCCCACCATACCAGGGAGATAACAAAGGTAGGCAAGCAAGTTACATATTTTAAGCATGAATATTTCCACACCAAAGCATGAATTTTAAATTATATTTTCCATTTTAAATATACATAGGCAGCTACCTGTGCTAATTATAATGAACAAAAATATAAACACAACATGTAAAGTGTTGGTTCCATGTTTCATAAGCTGAAAAGAAAAAGATCCCAGAAATGTTCTATATGCACAAAAAGCTTATTTCTCTCAAATTTTGTGCACAAATTTGTTTACATCCCTGTTAGTGAGCGTTTCTC